TGATACTATATATGGAAAACCCTAAAAACTGGTAGAACTGATAAATGAATTCAGTAATGTCATAGGATACAAAATCAACGTTGCATTGGTATGTACTAAAAATGAAGAATCAGAAAGAGAAATTAACAGTCCTACTTGCAATTGCACCAAATATAATAAAGTACCTAGGAATAAACTTAGCCAAAGAGGTAAAAGACCTGTACTCCGAAAACGATAAAATGCAAATGAAAGAAATGAAAGAAGACCCAAAGAAATCACAAGATTATGCAATGAGGGAACTAAAAAGTAGTCTTTTTAACAAACTATGTTGGGAAAACTGGACAGCTACACGTAAAGGAATATAACTGGACCACTTTCTTACACCATACACAAAAATAAACTAAAATTGGACCAAGGACCCAATGTGAGACCTGGAACCATAAAAATCCTAGAAGAGAGCACAGACAGTAATTGGTTAGACATTAACTGTAACAATATTTTTCTAGATAGATCTGAAGCAATTGCAAAAACAGCAAAAATAAAACTAATCAAAATGACTTATTATCAGGGAAATGCAAATCAAAACTACAATAAGATAGCACCTTATATCTGTCAGAAAGGCTAAAATCAAAACACAAGAAACAAGTTTTGATGAGGATGTGGAGAAAAAGGAACCCTCTTGCACGGTTGGCGGGAATGCAAATTGGTGCAGCCACTGTGGAAAACAGTATGGAGTTTCCTCAAAAATTTAAAAAGAGAACTACTCTGTAATCCAATAATTGCACTACTGGGTATTTACCTGAAAAATACAAAAACTCTAATTCAAAGGGATCCATGCACTCCTCTGTGTTTACCAGCATTTTTTACAATAGCCTAATTATAGAAGTAACCCAAATGTCCATTAGTACATGAATGGATAAAGAGGGTATGATACATACATACACACACACACAATAGACTATTACTCAGCCATAAAAAGAATTAAATCTTGCCACTTGCAACAGTATTGGTGGATCTATAATGCTAATGAAATAAGTCAGAGAAAGACAAATACCATATGATTTCACTCATATGTGGATTCTAAGAAAACAAGTGAGCAAAGGGAAGAAAAGATGAAAAAATTGACTCAACTAAAAGAGAACAAACTGATGGTTCACAGAGGGGAGGTGAAATAGGTGGTGGGGATTGAGGAGTGCATTTGTGATGATCACCAGGTGTTATGTGAAATTGTTGAATCACTATATTATACCCCTGAAAGTAATATAATACTGTTAACTGTTATTTTAACTGGAATTAAAATAAAACTTAATAAAAATAAAAAATAGAATTACTGTATGATCCAGTAATTCCACTATTGGATATTTACCCAAAGTATATAAAAACATTAATATGAAAAGATACATGCACCCCTATGTTTGTCTACATTATTTATAATACTCAAATTATGGAATTAGCCCACATATCTATTGATAGATGAATAGATAAGTGTGTGTGTACACACACACACAATGGAATATTATTCAGCCATAAAAAGAATGAAATCTTGCCATTTGCAACAACATGGATGGATGGATCTAGAGGGCAAAATGTTAAGTGAAATAAGTCAGATAAAGACAAACATCATATGATTTCACTAATACATGTAATTTATAAAATAAACCAACAAAGAAAAAAATGAGACAAACCAAAAAACAGACTCTTAACTATAGTGACAAAATGATGGTTACCAGAGGGGAGGTGGGTGAGGGGATGGGTGAAATAGGTGATGGGGATAAGAGTACACTCCTCATGATGAGCACTGAGTAATGTATAGAATTGTTGAATCACTATATTGTACAGCTGAAATTAATATGACACTGAATGTTAATTATACTGCAACTAAAATAATCTCCCCTGTGAGTTTCCAATAAAGAAGTCATACAACATCAAACACCAATAGTGCCAAAACATTTACTGAAGGTTTTCAAATCTTTCAAAAATGTTACAAAAGGCAAGCAAACGCAGTGAAACTAAAGATAAGTTTGACACTGAAAACTAGTATGTAAGTCCATGCAGGCATGTGGGGAAAGGGAGTATCTATGAGTATTTACTATGATTAAAACACTGTGTTAGGGTTTTATACATATATCTTATTTGATCCCATTCAGGAAAAATTATCTCCGACTAGGAAAGTATAATCACACTCTCCCCCATCAAAAACACACACACACACACACACACACAAAACCAAAAGCAACAAAAAGAAAACAAAGATTGTGTCATCTATTAATATCATGCTAGTCTATTACCCATCCAACCCACCCAAGAGACATCTGAACTTGGGAAAGATACCTTTGAATAATAATTCAACAGAGACCAGATTAAGGACCTTGTAAAGTTGCATGTTGACTTGTAGAAAATTGATAAAGCATAATGATGTCTTATTTATATTTTCTGATAGAAAAATTTACCTCCAGGGTGATAGTTTTATTTCTCTGTAGGATGCTAACCAGTTTTAATATCTTACTTTGCAATCTCATTTCTTCAAGGCCTTTGCTACTGATTAAATTCCAATTCTTCACAATCTCTTCAAATTACTGTTATCCTGATGATGAGTTAAAAGGCACTCCATTCATATGAGAATTATGTTTTCAATGATTTATGAATCTGTGCTTTGATAATCCTCAAACAACCACATGAGGTAGGTAGTATATCCTCATTTACAGAGGAAGAAAGTGAGTCTCATAGGAGGCACATAATCTGCCCAAGGTGATGGAGAGAAGAAGTCATTAGAACTGGAGTCTGAATACAAATCTGCCTGAATTCTTTTTACAGGAACTACACTGGTGTCTCACAGGTGGACTGAAAATCTGCTTTGGAACATTTCCAGAAAATGAACTTTACATATGTTTATATTTGAATTATAAGCATGACAGCTAAATATCAAAAGCAACTAACTATGAATGACCTAAGCCTGAGTATTTAAATAGTAACTGAAGAGTTTATTAATTTGTTAGGTTTCAAATCTGAACTTTTTGAAATACTTTTGAAAGTATTTGAACTTTTGGAAATACTAAAAGTATTTGCCCATACACTACTCGGAATGTTATCATTACAGTGTGTAATTCCAGTGCTATGCTGCTTTCATTAATGGTTCTGTATGATGCAGGGTAAATTACTACTGAAGCTATTATACAGGTCATTGGAAGGTGTTTAGAATACTTACTAGAGAGCCTGTCTTGGACATTTCATGAACATGTCCCTGAGAGCTTTGTGAATACATTTGACCAAATTCCCAGTTTATTCCACTGTAAAGATGCTCTGATCTACTTTGTCTTTAGACCAGTAAAAAAAAAAAAAAAAAAAAAAAAAAAAGGTGAGGAACACCAACATGTTTTTCTATTCTTCAGGTCATAAAGGTGATGTGTTGTCCTGGCTGAACACACAGGTAGTAGATATTAAGACTAGAGAGCCACAAGGTGCTCTTAGTCTGAAAGCACCATGGTATACATTGTACATCTTAAAAATATATCTTGGGAAAGGTTGATCTCCCATATATGTGTTGATCTGCCAACAAGCATGCTTTTCACAGCTGGGATGTTTACCTTCGGAATGCACCCTTTTATCCACTTGAAGATCCATTCAACGTATATGCCAATTTACAAGTTTTTCTCCATAAATAAGATTCTAAAGTTTAGGTTAGTTGGTATGTAGGTTGATAAAATACCTCTGCTTGTATCGTGTGGCCTTTATCCAAAAAATCACAATTTAGACAGTGACCATCTGGCCTGGTTTCCCCATAGAGTGCACTCCTATTTGGGGGGCACTGGCAGCTGTCTGCCACAGATTTAAATTAAGTGAGGCAATCTGCCCCCCCCACCCCCGCCCCTGATCACAAATGCTTGAGCCAGCTGAATTTCAGCTTCGGCTGAAGTGAAAATTAACTATGTGGTTCAAATTCATCTTGACTCACAGTTTCACTGTTTTATCCTGGCTAAAGCTGCTCACTGTGTCTGTGGTTTTCTTACATAAATTTTCAATCCAGCTAGTACTATTATACGGTGTCTTTTCCAACCCTGATGCTGGGGGTGGATTTTTAGCTCGCATATTTCTTCCAGATGTGATAAGCTCTCCATAGCCTTCTTGGTGAGCAAAAGCATATCCAGACCTTCTTGAGCTTGACCTGCGAGTCTGAGGTCTTTGGCTACGTAAGGGTCTTGTCTTCTTTTGAGATTTTTGCCTCTGACGGATCTGTAGAGGAAGGAGAGTCAGAGTGAGATTATGTATCCAAATGACAGATTCCAGGCCCTGGGCCACTTTATTAAGAGAAAGCTTTTTCAGTAGAAAGATCAACAATAACAAAATACTTACCTTCATTGTAAAAGGAGGTGTTTCACAAAAAAAAAAAAAAAAAACAAGGAATTTTCCAACCAAAAGATTACAATGGGCACTGGTCAGTTTTTATTACTACCAACAGACTATTCAATGAGCAAGAAGTGTTAAGACAAATTTCATTATTGTGTTCATCTTCTACATCCATCTTAAAAGAATAGGTACAGAACGATTTTCTAACATGCACCATCCAAACACAGTCAGTATAACCATCTATAATTCTAATCCCCCTAATCCCCCCAGTTTCCCTCTTAGAGAATCTCAAGATCCAATAGTCAGTAATAACTGGACTAAGAAAATTTAGAAAATTAGAGTCAGAAATTCCCAGCTCTTGTGGTAGGTCAGTATATCATGAGATTTTCAGGGATTTGATTTCTTTTGGATTTTTTTATACAGCTCTTTAAAGAACTCAACATCATTTGGGTGAGTTTCCAACATTTCTTTCATTTCCCTTATGAAATGAGGAGAGAAAGACCCAAGGTTTGGTGCAAGCCACCCTGTTCTCTGATTCAGCTGATCTCATGGAGTCTGACTTTGAGGTCAGGAGAAAGCCATTAAAAACAGAAAATCATGATCTGACTACACACTGGAAGAAATGAGTATCATCTTCCTTCCTTCAGCTCATCCATCATTTTCTGGGTTTATTTCAGAATGAGCTCATGGAGCCAAAGGAAAAGGACAGACCTAACAGGGGAATCTATGAATCATATCAGAAGGAATCTTTGCATGTTTTGGACTCAGACTGTGGAGGATATCCTGGTAAGGGACATTCTGCCTCAGTTCGTTTCAGTATCATTGGTCTGGTCACCATCCCACCAGTGTCTGCCCCTTCTCATGATGTGACTACAAATGAGTGTCTCCCCTTTCTTTCTCCTTTTTCTCTTCTTTTTTTAAAAGATTTTATTTATTCATGAGATACACAGAGAGAGAGAGAGGCAGAGACATAGGCAGAGGGAGAAGCAGGCTCCTCACAGGGAGCCGGATGTGGGACTCAATCCCCGGTCCTGGAATCACACCCTGAGCCAAAGGCAGAAGCTCAACCACTGAGCCACACAGGTGTCCCTCTCCTTTTCTCTCTGTCTGGGTCCAGACCTAACTTGAGATTGTCTTGTTTCTACTACTCTTCTCATGAAATATGTGCTCTTTAAGAATTTCTACAATCTGTTCTGTTTTCCTTTCAACTTCGTAGTTTTTCAATCCAGTCATCATGTTGCTTTTCCTTTTCTTAATCTGTTCAGAAGGTGGCATCTCCCTATGTTTTTGAATCAGCTACTACACTTCTACAAAAATTTAGAGTCCCTTCACCTCATAGCTTGTCCCTCTTTTACTCTACTCTTTACTTGCCCCCATGTCGATAACTTTCCTTATAGTTTGCCTTTGCCTTACAACAGTTGTCCAAAATGCCACCAGTAGACTTCTTTTTTTAAAGTCAACTTTTATTTTTTAAAAAGATTTATTTATTTATTTGACAGAGAGAGAGAGAGAGAGAGAGCACATATAAGCAGGGGGAGGGACAGACGGAGAGGGAGAAGCAGGCTCCCTGCTCAGTGGGGAGCCTGCTTCCCACTGAGCAGGGAGCTGGATGTGGGGCTCTATCCCAGGACTCGAGGGGTCCTGAGCTAAAGGCAGATGCTTAGCTGACTGAGCTACCCAGGTGCCCCAAAAGTCAACTTTTAGAAATGCCCAACCTAACTTGTAATTCATGACTCCGTACCCCCATTTAGTCTAGACATTTATCTTCATTAACATTCACAAAACTAGTATGTTCAGTTGTGAGCAATTCCATCTATGGTATGGGATATTGTAGGTCTATGGATGTTTCCAGTGGGAAGTTCGTTAGCACTTTCCTGTGCTTCCAAATCAGGTACAGAAGAACATGATTCCAAGAGCCAAAAACTAACTCTGCAAGTATTTATCAGCACTGCCACATACCTGGTCACTCAGGGTCGGGAATAAATCCACCTTTAAAAATCGGAATACCACCACAGGCATAACTGAAGCCACTGTTGTTAAGAGAATAACAAGCCAGATGCACTTCTGGGTCAAAGAATGCCGTGCATTTCCTATTATTAATGAAAAATATACATAATTATACAAAAATATGCTGAATTATTGAATGAACAGGCTCCTTGTCTATTCTCATAAGGTCTTTTTTTGAAATGGTGAAGTTTGGGCTACCTACGGAGAACACCACTAGGCATCTTCCCTGGTATATAGTATGTTCAGAGGCAATGAGAAGGCAAGAGTGGTATTATCACCCTTGGGAACTGCTTCATGGCCCCATCACTTGGAGATAGCCAATCAGAGCCCAGTGTTCTCTGATCTAGACTCAGTCCAGCTTCACTCATAAAATAGAATTCTCTCACTGACCCTCAAGATCCCTCGACTACAAAGCGGCCATTATTTTTAAAAGGCACATTTGCTCTTATAGGTTCTTGAATAAAATTGCCATATCAAAACTACACAATATATGTCTATGGTGCAGGTACAATCTCAATGGTCTTGGTGACTGGCTATGCCATAAAAGGAGAGCTTTATCTAATACAGGCCAACCTTGACAATTCAGGCAGCAGCCTCAGAAAACCTGCCTCAAAGGGACTTGCTGATCTCTCTGACATTCACTGAGTTTTGAAGAACTCAAGGTTTCAAGGAGATCAGAGATGCTCTTGGATTTGTGAAAAGAGCATTCCTCTCACTGGCAGACTGTTGATGCAGCCATCCAACAGGCTAGTGCAATACTGTGGTGAAACTCATTCCAAAGTCTGAAGCCAGTTTACTCACTTGATACTCACACCTCATATACTGGGATGTTTGTTTAAACAAAGCAATAACGGTCAGTTAAGCAGACAGGCAAATTCTACAGGAACATGTCAACCCTATTTATATCACCAAAATAAACTTCTGTCCCTGTTGGTTTTCTAGAGATTTGCCACAATACCTCCAATTACCTAGGTCCCCTCTCCCAAAATTAAAGTGTTAATACCATTTGAATGTGTTTTGGGTATGAAGGCTTGACTACTGATTGGTATGTCTGCATTTTCTGGCTTGGAGGATAAACTCTGCCCACCAAGAATGGTAGATTACAGTTGCCTGGGCAGAAACAAATTTGACTCAATAAGTTAAAAGTCTCTTTGAGCTCCCTGAAGCTTAGTACCCCCAGGCATGGCTGAGAAAATAAGCTTCATTTTAAAACCAAACTCCTGCTTGCTGCTGGCTACTAAGGAAATTTTTTTTCTTAAACCCCAATGTTGATCTAACTTTTGAGAAGTCTCATTGGAGCTCAGTAATTAATTCCTGGAATGGCATGTGCTTAGTTGGAAAGAGTGGTCCCCACACAAACTACTTTCTCCAATTGAGGCATTCCAGTCTCATTATGTGTGCTAAAATGCTCTCTTAGGAATAGAAGTCTTCTCGTCAACGCACTGAACTTTCAGATTTGGCAACCAAAAGAAAAAAAAAAGGAAGAAAATAAAAAGAAAAAAGAAAAAAATTCCCTAAAAATAGTTGTGTCTTTCTTTCATAATATGCTTATTCTTATTCATAACCATCATGTTTCTATGTGGTTGCAGTCTTTTGGCAAAGTATTAATGTTACATATTAAGTAAGAGTGGTGCAATTTAAATATTTCCATGTACACGCAGCATTTAAATGGCAGAGCTGACACCTGAGCCCTGGCTGTCTAACTATAGAGGCTACTCTTTGTGCCACTTGTAGACTAATATCCAGCAATTTTTAGACTGCTCTAAATTACACATCATTTCTTTCCTATCTAAGTGCAGGTAAGTTCTACAGGTGAACTTTGGCAGTGATCATGGTGATAATGTGGGATAAAAGGGAGAGCCTAAGATTTCTTTCTCTTCCATTATTCCTGAACTTTTTACAGGCCTTCAAGTAGGGTATATGTGCTATGCCTCTTGCTTGCAAAGGGACAATCTATTGCATTGGGGCTGTTAGGAACCTATAAGACACTATCACAATAATTCTACATCTGGCAGGAATAGTAGAGACCAATCTTTTGAATTCTTCTCAGACCTGAAAATCTTCAGATGCCTGATTCAATCCATTCCTAGAGAAAAGATTATTAGTCATCCCTAGTCCCACCCGACAGAAAATAAATTACAAAGACAAATAAATGACAGCGCGACACTAGGCCTTCATAGATAGTAGGACTCAACTTACCAACAAATGGAAACTGGTTTGGGAAGATGCCAAAGATGCCATTACTGTGCATTGCAAATAAAACGGAGAAATAAGTGGCAACGCTGCCCCAAATGAAGACATGGTTAATGACAGTCCAGTAACTGGTATCCAAGGCTATCTGTAAATGTAAAGTTGGACTGTAAAGGGGAGGTCTTTGAGGATGAAAAGAGTATCATTTTACTGAGTGATGTTTCCCTAGAACTGTGAGGAGATGGTTGCACCTATCTAGCTACTAACCAACCACAGGCACTCCTACTTTCTGCACAGCACTGAGAACTGATCCGAAGTCAGGTGCACTACTGTCTGGTAGACAACTGACTTCAGAACTTATATCTGCATGCAATATATCTGCCAACATTGAATCACAATCAGGAGATAAAATGTTAACCTTTTTTTTTGTTTATTTTTGTCTGTTTTTTTTGTTGTTGTTGTTGTTAACCTTCTTTTAAGTGAGGAATAAGAAAACAATGATTTCTAATTTCAAAGTTACTTTCCAAATTGCTCTTAAAGCATTTCTGTTGTGAAAAAAAAATCTTCAGTAGTAAGCAATGCAACATTTTATAGTCTATACATAAATTTTCACATGACTATTTTACATGGATATAATCTGTTTTACATCAATATTCTTACTCATTTTGATGATCCTTTTTCTTAAATTATTTAATTAATAATAAATAAATCCTTAATCCTCTTTTGGGATAAAATTCAGAAGTGAGGATTCATGGTAACCTGGGAACATGTTCACAGCTCTTTTCTCTTGCAGTAACTCATTGTGGCAACAGCTAAAAATGGCCTCCTATCAGGGAATCAAGGAAGCCATTGACAAATATGAATCCTGAGCTTTCAGAGAAAAGCAAGTAGGTTCTGGCAACATTATTTGCATCTTCCAGGCCCCAAGTGGTCCATGTGAAGTTTTGCATTTCTAGCAGAGTCTGCTTCAAGACCACAAATTTCTCACTTCCTGAGGGGGTCCTACTAACATAGTAAATAGATCCTTTTCTGCATATGGAGATATGCTTCCTCTTCCCACTTAAAGTTTACTTAAAAAAAAAAAAGTCTTGCCCCATTAAAGATATTGGTAGCCTTTGATATAAACTGCAGAGGTTATAAAAAGACAGCTCTTTCTCTCAAGAGGCCTGAGAATGAAAGCCCTGCCATCCATCCTCAGCAGAGATACTGGTTTTCCAGTTCATTTGGCTGCCAAGACATTAGGCCAAAATCTTCAACTACACCTTCCACCACCTGTCAATTCATCCCCATCAAGAGACACCAGTAGCCTGATGTGGGTAGGAATAGAAAAATATGTGGGTAGGAATAGAAAAATCACAACCAATTAAAGAAGATTCAACTGAAAAAAAGTAAAATAAAAAAAGAACAGGTGGCTCCTATTGAGGCAGCACTAATGGAAAAGACAGACAAGCATATAACCAAAGAAATGTAATGAGAACTCTTAAGGGGATGCAATTAGATCACAGAAAAAAAAATTCTGGAAGAAATAAGCATTATTTCTGATTTTAAAAATTCAATAGAAAAACCAAGTAAGAATAGTCACTGATGGGAACTGAATTAATATTCTGGAAAAAACAAATGGAAATAATATCTCACAACTGAGAGCAAAAACTTGAATAAATGGAAACCATGTGCAAAAAGATATGAGACATGAATGGAAAATCCATAGATGACAGATCCATGAGCCCAACATACAAATAAAGGCATCTTAGAGAGTAGAAGGAAGTAACAATTAAAGAAAGGATAGAAGAAAACTGCTCTACTATAGTGAAAAAATAGCAAGATTTTTAGATTAAGAGGGCACTCTAAATCCTAGGAAAATTAAAGAAGTTACATTCTGGTGATATTTGTGAAGCCTCAAGACAAAGAACATAGATTTCCAGATAGAGAATATATTACTTACCAAGGGAAGAGAATCAAGCTAATTTCAAACTGCTACATTGAAACTGTGTATAATGGAACAACATTTACAAAGTTCCTAAAGCAAAAGTCTCTGACTCAAGAATCTCAGACCTACCCAATGTATCATTTAAATGTAAGGGGAAAAAAGAAAGCTTTGAGCCTAAAAGTATAATGTCTATGTACCTTTTCTGAAGAAATTATTCAAGGAAATTGCTGCATATAAAAATTCAATAGAGCAAAGGCTTCAAAAGAATGGAAGACAAAAAGCATAAAAATGGTGGGAGCAATGATTCTTGTAAATTTATAGTTGGCTCCAAATGAGTAATGTGAGGATAAGCTACAGTATTAACTTAGAAAAAAAAAATCTGAAACAGTCAAAAAATATGTTAAGGAAGCATTTAATAATATCCTGAAACTAAAATTCTAGATTATTAACATATAAGAGGGGAATAGGAGCCAGGAGGGAGAAATAAGTAGATAGATACATTTCTAAAACTTTAATTTGGAAATGGACAGGGGAAGGAATGATCAAGATAGTGAAACATTTGATGAAGGATATAGTTACTACTTAATTTTAGTATATCAATATGGAAATAGAAATTTAAATGATGATGAAATGGGAGAAATCACTAGTAAAATAGGAATACAATAGTAAAACTTGTAAATTCTTTATGACAAATAAGATATTTAAAAATCATAATGCATCTAAGTATGAAAAGGAAAAAAATGGAATAAAAATTTTAAGATAATCATAAAATAACTGAAAGGAGCAAGATAAAATATGTAAATTACAAAATGAGTAGTTTAACTCCTTATCAAAGGAGAAAAACCAATAGAATGAGATAATAAAGTAATGAAAATGAAGGAATAGGCCTAGATTATATATCAGTTATATGCAGGCTAAAAAAAAGCAACAGAAATAAAAATAATATAAAAAAATGAAATTTAAGTAACATCATAAAAAAAGATGAAAGCTACAAAAAAACCCACAAATAATCAAGAACCATTATATGGCAAATAATATAGTCTCAAATTATGTAAGGTAAAATCTCCTTGAAGTATAAGACCTTGACAAGAATTGTAATCACAAGGGAAAATTTTAATACATTTCTCTCAGTATTTGACAAACATGATGGTTCTTCAGAAATCTGTGGCTGACCTGGCATCCTGTCCCCAGTGTGTTCAGAGGCAAGCTGTTTCACTACAACAATGCAGCCATGTGGCTGGGTGTTGCTCCCAGAGGTGCTATGCTTGGCTGTGGCTCTCCCTGGTTCATTTGCTCTCTTGAAAATCCTGGAGCTACTGAATAGCTTTTAATAAATCTTTTGTCTGTAACTATGATCCTTTTTGGAAAGTAATATGTTAATATTAATGAAACATAAAATGTATGTATTCTCTGACCCAGGAATGAAAAAAAAATACCATTCTTTATCCATCATATCAGTAAAAGTTAGTTCTGACTCCAGAAATTTCATTTCTAGGTATTTATCTGTCATTACATAAAATTTATGTACTAGTATATGCATTGTAGAATTGTTTCAATAACAGCAACACCAAAAGAAACATCCTGAATGTCTATCAATAGAAGGCTTATGAATAAATTATTATATTATATATCCATATTGTGAAATTCTGTGAAGTTCTTTAAAAAGAGTAAGATAGATCTGAATGTGTTGGTTTGGAAAGCTTTTTAGAGTATCTTGTTAAGTAAGAAAGCATATTACAGAATAATATGCTAGCTGTGCTCCCTTTTTCTTGAACATATGTGTGTGTCCCAAAGCAAAGAAAAAATATGGAAGGAGTTAAGCTATGGTTATCATAATAGTTAACCAGGGGAATATGGGAAGTAAAAGAAGGTGGTTCATTTTATATTAAACATTTCTATAGTATTTGAAATGTTAAAAGGAGCATTATATAACTCAAATAACAAAAAAAAAAAAAACCCAGTGTTTTAAAAAGTTGAGACTGCTAAATTTCAGGCTATAGCATCGGCAGGACACATAAGATTTATAACTGTAATTATAGACCATGGAAATTTCATGGAGGTTGTTACCCCAATGACAAGTTAAGCTTAGACAGCGAGGAAAGGATATTAATGCTGCTGTCAAAGTGAGCTTATTCGCAAAACTCCTGAAACTTATTATTCTATATATTAAAGACAGCAGTCTCTGATTGAAGCCAAAACTGCAGTTTTCATGGTTATGAACATTTATGTGCTCAGGTCTGAGAATTTTATGGTAGACATTTTCAGGGCTTCAGAGAAATAAAAATAAGTGGAAGACTAAAATGACACTAATTAGGAATCTATATTCCTCAAGTTTAAGTTTTCACATTGAAAAAGGACCTGTGTGTTTATCATCTATAAGCAATCTCTCTCCCACTTTATTCAAGGGTGATACTGGTGTCCTAGGTGTCCCCTCATGGAAGAACAGAGATGGACCATTGAATTAATTCCCTGTAGCTTCCCTCTGCTGCCTGTAAAGAAGGGAGGTCCACGTGGACTTGGAGTTGGGAACCTGCGATCAGATCTGTGTACAAATCCTGGCCTGCCACCTTTGTGTGATTTGAACTGTAACAACTATTTTCTTATCTATAGTAATAATATTTATGTTTCAGAGGACTGTGAAGAAGATTAAGCATGAGAATGGGATTATCTGAGAAATAATTCATTTGCATACTAAATGTTCAATTAACAGGAGCTATTGTTACTCTGAAAATCAGAAACCCTGACAGAGGCAAGTGGGCCAAGTTTGCCTTCAGTAAGTCTAACCTCTCCTCTTAATTCTTCTAGAGATTCTCTTTTCTCCAAACTCCAGTGCTTCTAGCTTTAAGATGGCCTGCTTTTCTTTCACTCTTTCCCTCTTCCTTCTCTCTTTTCTTTTTCCTTTCTTTCCTCTTTTTTCTCTTTCCACCCCTCCTTCCTCTAGACAGACAAGGAAGTATCTGATATTTCCTTTATGTCCAGTCAAATCTTTGTTCTCATATATCCTGAAAAATTGCATTTTAATCAGTCTTACTGTAGAATGAAAGACTTTGCCTCAGAGAATGCTGGAGTCAGGTCTGGGTTCCAATCCCGGATCTGGGACTTACTTTGTGACCTCAGGCAAGTCACTTAACATCTGAGCTTCATCGGTAAAAGCGGACAATAATACCTACTACATAGTGGCACTGAGAGGATTAAATACAATGCATGATATCATTCATAGTGGTGATGATGACACAGATTTCTGAAGGCTCCCACCAAGGGCAGGCCTGCTTTGGTAAGGGGTAAGACGGGCATGTAACTAAGACAGGAGGGATAGTCGGGTACCTCAATCAAATTCTTCTCACTTCCTTTGCTCAACTTTAATCTCCCTTTATCTATTTCTGCTTTTACATCCATTCAATAAAAACTTATTTGTGTCTAATACTGCAGTTTAAGTTGGAGTACAGCAGTAAACAAAGCATGCCAGAACTTGGAAACTGCTGTTTATTCTCACTCACACCTACTCTGCTTCCAGACCTCCATCTCCAGCCTGGAATCTCTCCTACCTTGTTCTCTTGCCAAAAATGTCCTCAGTCTCCTTGCTGTTTCAGCACCCTCCAGCACTGACAATTAATGGTAGGGGGTATGGGTGAAGGCAGGGAAAAATCAGGTAAAGTAGAAATCTATGGGACAGGAGTAAGTGGATAAGATCTAGAGGATGTCAGCTTATACATGGCAGAGGGCACACCCACCAAGTAGTGAGACCTAGCACCTCATCTTTATAAGTACAGCTCTGTGCATGCATTACTGCTTCTCAAGTGTGCCTAACTACCCTGTAGCCCAATAACAGTGTTGTAGGAAATGCCCCACATTTTTCATGGAACACTCACAAGTTCCTTAAATAAAAATCACGGAGTCGGGAAATAAGACTACTGGATCCTAGTCCTAAAACTGCAATGCAGTCACTGTGTGATCTTGGTCAAATTGTGGGCCCCAGTTTGCTATATCAACTTTAAATTATACAGTTACAGTTTTAACATATGACCACCAATTCTTTGAAATTCTGCTAAGAAATGGAGAATAATTCTCCCCTTAAGTGAATAGGGCTGGATTTAGTGACTCACTTCTAATGAATAGAGTATGAAAAGGGAAACATAGTTTACAATGGAGAAACCTGAAAAACATCATCTTAACAAGTAACCGAGGTCACCATCACCAGTAATAAGTCATGCTGATATCACATGCTCCCTGATAGGAAATGACAAGAAAGGCATATCACCTTTTTGTGATTCTTCCCCCAAACCCACGATCTCAGTCTGTTCCTAAGAAAGCATCAGAAAAATCCAGAAACATTCTACAAAATACCTGACTACTGCTATTCAAAAGTGTCAAGGCCATGAAACACAAGGGAAGACTGGAATGTAAGATCCTGGAACAGAAATAGGTAAGTAATGGAGAAACTGAGGAAATTTGAATCAAATCTGTACTTCAGTTAATAGTATCATACCAATGCTAATTTCCTAGTTTTGACAATTGCATAATGGTTATATAAGATGGTAATGTTAACATTAGAGAAAAGCTAGGTGGGCAGGACAATGGTTGCCCTTGAAGACATAGAGGCAGAGAATGGATCTAGTGAGACAAATAGCCAATTAGGCCTGAATCAAATAGACCCAGATAGCCTCATCCATAACATCTTGAATGAGGGACCAATGGTTACTTTGAATCCTAAGGAAGAATCCCCTCTGAGGAAGTACAGGTATCATTCTTATAAAACCCTAACATAAAAAGTAAGAAATTTTGAATGGTTTATTTTGAAAATTTCAAAAGATAGACTATAAAATTCTGCCTTTTTTGTGAATAAACAATGTTTTTAAAATAGAATTGTTTCTGTGGTCTCTCAATTTGTGAGAAAAGAGAAATGTAACTATGACATCCAAAAGAAACTGTGTACTTTATGGGGAAAAGAGCTTCTAAATCTAAAATTAACATAAAAAGACAGCACTGGCCTTACTACACTAGCATATAAGAAAATAAATTATAATCAAGGAAAAAGAGAAAAAGATATATAGGAATATCAACAGACTTTTTTAAGTTAAAAAAAAAACATTAACCTAGAATTGATTTTGAAAAATAGATTCACTAAACATGCAATACCTCATATCTTTTCCAGGTATTTTTTTACCCTTATTTTTTTTAAGATTTTATGTATTTATTCATGAAAGACACAGAGAGAGAGAGAGAGAGAGAGAGAGAGAGAGAGAGAGGCAGGCAGAGGGAGAAGCAGGCTCCATGCAGGGAGCCTGATGTGGGACTCGATCCCAGGTCTCCAGGATCATGCCCTGGGCTGAAGGCGGCGCTAAACTGCTGAGCCGCCCGGGCTACCCTATCCTTATTCTTATAGTGAATGATGTTAATGACAGTTTAAAGAATATTTCCCATTTGCTTTTTATTTTAGACACTGGCCTTTTGTCTCAGTTATTACTTTTCAAATGATCTCTTGGAGCAGTAATTAATAAGCCTGACCTAGCAAATAAGCTGTTACTCCTAAAGAGATATCTCACAACTCTCTTCCCCATCAGGAAGAGAATCCAGAGAACTGGAAATATGCCTTCATGTCAGGGAGTAGATCACCTAATTCTCTAGGCTAGAAATGTATAAGAGTACAGAGAGTCTGCTCAGTGATCAAAAGGCAACAAAACAAAACAGGTTGGAGTGTTCAGCATAGTGGCAAGAACTATAAGATGGAACAATAAATAGCTTTTATGAGGTGATATACACCTTATCCCAGTAACAGACTATCATAGTGAATGTCTTAGCTATGCCAGATGCTTTCAACTCACTCCATTATTTCCTTCTCTGCCACAGAAATGAAAATAGAGGAACAAGACATGGAAGGTTCGCAAAGCAACGGAAGGCTTTATTTAGTTGCAAGACAAATAGAACTCTTTTCTAAGTGGAGAAATCTGGTTCTGCTTTTGGATGCTACCTGTCTGATTCTGAATTATGAACTCCCAAGATGTCAAGTGTTAGATGTCTTTGGAGTAGACATAATAATACTCATTTAGATGGACCAAGGAATGGCAGAGACATCCTTTAAAACTAGTATGTTGATATTTGGTTCATGTAATGTAATGTTTATTTTTGAGTCATGAAGAGAAAGTCTGAGGTTTAATGGCATTCCTTGCTGGAAATTAGCAACTAAGATTTGTAAAAATGATTGTTTATAGGATACAAAAAGGACTGACCAAAGGCAATTTAAACTCTAAAAATCAAGTCTTTGACTGATATTTGTTCCTTAAAAAAAAAAACAAAAACAGATCACATTGTTTACTGTATCCACCCAAAGGTATAGATTTTAATGACTAGGAAAGCTTCTGTGAACTCTAACTCAATATTGAATGGTTTTGTCCACCATTTGCATTAAAGAGGAAACAAACACTCAAGATACCCAGTGATGTCAATGGATCACCAAAAATCACCCCTACCAGAAGAGCTTCTCTGAATTTAAGGTTCAGATGTGCCAAAATATAACACTGAACTTGGATAATTTCACAGACATGTACTGCCAAATAAATTTTAAAACTTACTTTAAAGCTGGAAGTTATTTAGTCATAGAAATCATGGGAAAGTTTCTGCTATCATTGGAAAACTTTTTTGTTTTCAAACCCAAAAAAGAAACAGTAGTATAATCATTTCTCTTTATATACAACGCTCAATCCCAAGAAGTAATCAATTGTGAGGTTTCTACTAAAACAGAGGTTATAGACACCTAATGCTAATCTCCCATATCTGGTCATTTACATTAAAGTTTTCTGTTTTCATCTCACAATGTGTAGTTAAAAAGAAAACCCCAGGATTCCTTTAGGATTCCCCCCCCCAACAGGTAGGCAAAATCAATTAACAGTGGAAACGAATTTTAAAACTTGTAAAGTCATCAGGTTAAGACATTTTCAGCAACAGGGTTACCTGCACACTGACCACAATGACCAAAGATGTAGCCATGGTAACTGCAAAAGACTGGTAGTCAACTATGAGCTGCCCATCTTCTCCAGCCACGTTGTAAAAGGCTCCATAGGGGATGAAGAAAAGGACCAATGATGTGTAGATGCCATGTGCCATGCAGATGAAAAATTTATGCTTGTTAAACAGTAGGTTCAGCTGTCCAGGTTCATATAGCTGGGGATAGTCCATGCTGCTCTGGTCACTCACATCCTGTCAACAAAGCGTTAGTTCAGTAGAGAAGGCTTGAGAAGAAGTCAGAGAGGTGCTGAATTCCCCATCTCGGGAAATAGTAAGCACATGACCAAGCACACCCTAATAAATACTATTCATTAACCTGTTTTCATGATAATTGAGAAGATAATGATCCCAATTTTATTGAAGACAAATTTGGGTCTCCAAGAGAGTCATGAGAGATCATATAGCTCTTATAACAGAACCAGAACTTGCACCCAGATCTTTGGCTTCGGGTTGAAGTTTCTTTCTTCAACTCTCCTGCAGCTGCACTCATGCTCCCAGAATTCTAGTATATCACATGCAGCCAGTGGGACCCAGGGATTAATTAACAAGGCAGTGAGGGTAGTGGCCAGGAGATGGCAGCAGAGAGCCACAGAGTAGGATTTTGGCCAATCTGAGTCCCTAACTGTGAGAGGAGGGAGAGTAGAAGAGGAAAGGGGAAAGTGGGAAATTGCAAATGGGATTCCAGTGGGAAGGAAGCTGAGCCTGAAGAGCTGAGTGCTATACCCAGTGAGGATTCCAAAACCAGCTGTTCCAGACAAAAAATTTAGACAGAATGAGAAGCTATGTTTGGCTCCAACAGGGAGCAAACTAAAACAGTGCTTCTCAAACTTAATATGCACATAAATCACTTGGGGAGTAAATGATGATTCAGCAGGTTAAGGGTAGGGCCTGAGACTCAGCATTTCCAATTGGCTCCAAAGTAATGCTAATGACCACACTGTGAGCACCAAAGCCAAATGCCCAAACCAAAAAGGAGGCAAGGACTGACCACTGGGGACATCAGAGGACCAGGAGTAGAGGAGAAGCAGCTAAAAAAGGAGCAACACTGG